AATAGAATAGAATAGAATAGAATAGAATAGAATAGAATAGAATAGAAAAGTAAAATGCGGGAGGGTGAAGTATGTGGATGAGCAGGCTGCTGAGAAAATTTGCAGGCTCTTGTTCCGCCTCCCCCCATCCAAATTTCTCGTCTGAGCCCTTTCCCAGCGTCAGCCTGGCGGGCACAACTGCAACCTTGACACAGGTGTGGGAGCAGCAGACTGCAGGAGCCACGTGTCGCTTGGAAGCTCTGCAGCCACCAGCAAACCAGAGAAAGCAGCCGAGTCAAAGGAAGCGTCTTTCTCCCCCCAGCCTTCAACGGGGAGCGAATGGTACGGAGGAAGAAAGAGGCACAGGGACCACAGCAAGGGAAAAGGCAAGAATTCTGCAACTCTTCCACAGGCTGGGACAAGGGACAGAGAAGAGAAAAGCCGAGGAAATTCCAGCGAGAGGAATTAAGGGAGGACGGTGTTTGTCAGAAGAAAGCACTGTTATGTAATACAGGTAGTCCTCACCTTAGGACCAAAATTGAGTCCAAAATTTCAGTTGTTAAGAGAGACATTTGTTAAGTGAGCTTTTTGCCCTGTTCTATGACTTTTCTTGCCACCGTTGTTCAGGGGAGGACTGCAGTGGATAAATAAATAACCTGGTTGTTAAGTGAACCTGGCTCCCCCACTGAATTGGCTTGTTGGAAGGTCACAGAGGTTGATCCCATGACCCCGGGACACTGCGACCGTCATAAAGATGAACCAGTTGTCAAGCATTTGAAAATTTTGATCACACGACCATGGGGAATGCTGCAAAAGTCGTAACTGTGAAAAACAGTCATAACTCATGTTTTTCAGTGCCGCTCTAACTTTGACCGGTCACTAAACAAACTGCTGGAAGTTGTGGGCTACCTGTAGTATTGCTGTACAGTGCAGCACTGTAAGTATCTGAATAGTAACGGAGTATACTAAGTATAGTGACCAGTATACAATGGTTGGAAACTAATCAAGCAGAGAAGTAACCTGAAATTAAGGAGAAACTTCCTAACAGTGAGGACAATTAACCAGTGGAACAGCCTGCCACCAGACATTGCAGGTTCTCCATCACTGAGGTTTTTAAGAACTAGACCCGTGATGGCAAACCTATGACACGTGTGCCAAAGTGGCACCCAGAGCCCTCTCTGTGGGCACACGCACCGTTGTTCTTCTGGTTCTTGGCACACATGTGCATGCCGTCCAGCTGGTCTTTGTGGGCACCGGAGCACTGGAAAATGCCCCCAAAGCAGCCTGTTTTGGGGCCTTTTTCAGGCCACTTTTGGGCCCTTTTCAGGACAGTTTTTGGGCTGTTTTCCGGCCATTTTAGGGTCAAAAATGGCCCAAAACATCCTGAAAACATCCCAAAAAAGGCCTGAAAAATGTCCCAAAACGACCACAAAAATGTCCCAAAACAGGCTGGTTTGGGGGCTATTTTCAGGCCAAAAATAGCCTGAAAATGGCGAAAAACAGCCAAAAATCAGGCATGCACACACCAGCCAATTGGTCTTTTAGGTTTTTGGCATTCCGGCATGTGTAAATGCACACACATGCACACGTGTTCTGGTTTGGGCACTCGGTGCCAGAAAGGTTTGCCATCACTGGACACAACAGTCAATTATCTGAAATGGACAGGTTCTCCTGCTTGAGCAGGGGGGTGGACTAGAAGACCTCCGAAGTCCCTTCCAGCTCTATTCTTTTCTAAAGCGAATATCAGGCTAAAGGCCCTGTTTGTGTGTTCAGGCAACTGCTACGGGAACAATGCACTAAATTCAGTCCCAAGGCATGGAGGAAGCCAATGGGGCTTGGACCAAGGAATTTAGCAACTGGAGGTAAGCAAGTGACTTGTTGCATCACCAGGCTGAATCTTGCTATTGTACAGCTGGAGAGGAGCATCATTCGAGTCACGGTTAACACTGGAGAGGAGAGGGGGCTGCTGTAAGAGGGGGAGGCGTCGTGCAGGTGAGCATAGCTGGTGGCGGAGTCTGTTCGGTGGCAAGGCTATTTTAGGCTTAAGATACAGCTTCTTATGCATGCCGCACCGCAAAACAATAAGAATAGACTGCCGTCAATTTCCACCAATCTTGGTCACCGCAGACTTCCATCATCTGGCTTCTGATACCCCCACCTACTCTCAATTCTCCACCAACTCCCCAAACGAACGTTGGCAAAAGACACAGCGAAGGTTCACCGCATTCGCTTGAAAGGACGTTACTCCTGATGTTCCCCTACAGGGAGTGCTCGCCTTACGACCACAACTGAGCACCACATCTTCTGTTGGTAAGCGACACCTTCTTTAAGTGCATTTGGACCCCAGCTGACGACCTTTCTCACCAGGGTTGTTAAGTGAATCACTGCAGTTTTGAAGTTAGTGATACGGCTGTTAAGTGAATCCAGCTTCTGACAAGTTCGTCAGAAAGTCCCAAAAGGGGAATCGCTTGACCACCTGGACACTGCAACCGTCGTAAATATGAGCCGGTTGCCAAGCCTCGGAGTTTTGAACATGTGACCGTGAGGGTTGGAAGGGTGAAAAATGGTCATAAGTCACTTTTTCGGTGGCCTAACTTCCAACAGTCACCAAATGAACTGTTGTAAGTCGAGGACTACCATCAGAGGCAGTTCTTAACTTACAGCCATTCGTTTAGTGCAAGTGACTTCAAACTTGATAGCTTTAAGACTTGTGGACTTCAACTCCCACAATCCCTTAGCTAGCATGACTGGAGGGGGAATTCTGGGAGTTGAAGTCCACAAGTCTTAAAGCTGCCAAGTTTGGAGACCCCTGGTTTAGTGACTATTCAACGCGGTGGTGGGATTCAAATATTTTTACCACCGGTTTGGTGGGTGTGGCTTGGTGAGTGCACTTTGCACACGTGTACACACTTTGCGTGCGCGCAAGCACCAAACGCGCACTTTGCGCAGGCACAGAGGCATTCCAACTCACCTCCTGCAAGCCTGCATGATCCCGGTCGCTTCAGCAGCTGCCACGTGGCACTCTTCTGTGCCGCGCAAAGCAGCTGCGCTTCAAATCAGCGTATAAAGGTGAGTATGGGAGCTCGGGCGGGCAGGTGGGCCCAACAGAAGAGCGGTGGAGAGAACAGGTTTGGTCTCTGCTACTCATCGCTGCTACCGGCTCTGCAGAACCGGGCCAAACCAGTAGAATACCCCCACTGGTTCAGTGATACAACAGCACTGGGAAAAGTGACTTAGACCTTCTATTCACACTTACGACCACTGCAGTATCTCCATGGTCATGTGATCAACATTTGGGCCCTTAGCAACTGGTATCAATTTATGACGGTTGCGCTGTCCCTGAGGGGGGTCAAGTGATCACCATTTGTGACCTTCCCAGCTGGCTCCTGACAAGCCAAAGTCAATGGGGGAAGCCAGATTCACTTAACGGCTGCATGATTCACTTAACAAATGCAGCGATTCTCTTAACAACAGTGGCAAAAGCAGTTGTAAGATGGGGCAAAGCTCACTTCACAAACGGCTTGCTTAGCAATGGAGATTTTGGGCTCAAATGTGATCCTAAGAATCAAGAATTACCTACACAAATGGGATCAGAACCAGGCTTGATTAATGGTCTTGATTAATTAGTCTTGATGAATGGAGATTGGTCTACTTTGCAGAGTCAGTTCTCAATTCATTGCGGCATACAAGGAGCTCTCAGTTTTCAGGGGAAAAACCACAAGTAGTTTCTTTCTTTCTTTCTTTCTTTCTTTCTTTCTTTCTTTCTTTCTTTCTTTCTTTCTTTCTTTCTTTCTT